GCTGCAATAATCACTTCTGTGTAACAGCTGATTGGACATTTCCATTGACAGTGCAGGCTAGTAGTGAAGGAGATTACTACATATTACACTTATTTCCATTCACTTTGTCTCTCACAACATTTTGTCTGAGTGGAACCGAGACAAACAGGATCGGAGTTCTTCATCAGGAAATTAATAAATTATAAACGTAAAATCTAGTTCTATACTCTTAATATGAGCAATGTTTGCCCGTATGTATGCTTCTTTGCACAAAGACCATTTCCTTCATATGATGTAAAAAATCAATTATTTCTAGCCTTAAAACATGTTTCATGCAGTTAAAACTGCCAAAAAAATCTAATTAGGCCTACGTAAAAAAATTTTAATTGAAAGTCAATGATTTTTAACAGTGAGCCTTATGAAATACTACTTTGGCAACAAAATAACAATGAAAATCGTAAACAAGAAAAGAAATAAGCATAACAGCTGATTACAAACACACCTCCAAAGAGGTTTATGATTTATGACTAGAGGACAATGAGATGTCATCCTTATAACTAACTGGAGTTAGCACGTAATTGCAAACAGGTGGCACCATTCATTTTTTATCTGTTAATGCCCAAGGCACAATCCACATGATGTGGAACTCTGATTAATCTAGATTTTACGAGAGAATTCACAAAGGGAACTGCCTAGAATGCATGATAGCTATCATAGCCATTACAATAATTTGCAACCTTACGAGTAACCTGACACCATTCAACAAAACTTTACTGCCCGGAGAGCTTCGGAAAGCCTGGAAGCACTACAATGTAGAATAAATACTCATCAAACTTATGGGAAAATTGCTGTTAAATAAAAAAAAATGTAATGAGTAAAAATACCCCCGTCGCAGCAAACCTGCATACTAAGCGAATTTCCATTTACCCGGCTTGATTTCTACTAAAATATTCCCTATAAATTTTCAGATTTATTTCCTATTTAAATAACATTAATTTTAGTGAGTAGTTAGGTTTGCTGCTACGGGGAAGATGTTGAGGTGTGTTTTTTCAATTGAAATATTGATAGCTTAGTATGAAATAAACCAAATTGCCAAATTTGATTAAAATATATCCATAAACAAGCAAACTAGAACAGTTTATTTATTCTCCATAAGAATAACATGGGAATTTTAAATTTACATTTTTTTTAATTTTCTCCGTAGTCAATGAACATTCAAAAACACTTCAATATACTAAATTATTTGTTTTTTTAAAGCTCTTCAAAATGGTCTAGAGAGAAATTTAGAAATTTAAAGTTTTTAGGGTCAAAAATGAGAAAAACCCATTTTTACCCCATAAAACCCCCCATAAACCCCTGATCCCATGGTCCGATTATGCTGGTTCGCGAACTCGTTCGAATAAACGTAGGTTTACACGTTTGTGCCAAATTTCATCAAAATCGGATCAATTTTGCTCGAGTTATCGCGCTAACGGACACATATATAAATATATATATATAAATATTAAGAAAACTGTAGTGATTAGGGCTACTATTTTGATATATAAAAGCATTATTAAAAACTAAGTACCCTTTTTTTAATTCATTTTATATTTTAAATAAAATGAACTAAAAAAAGGGTACTTAGTTTTTAATAATGCTTTTATATATAAATATATATGTATACTAGCTGTGTACCCGTTCTACGCACGGGGATCTTATAATATTCAGTTGAAACCTTCTTATATAACGAACAGCAGTTGGTTTGCATATTTTAAGATATGCTGGCCAAACTATTATACATAGCTTCATTTTATGTTGTTTTTTGTTGTTCCGGATCGGTATGACAATCAATAAAAGGTTAAATTACCTCTGTGTCTGCCGGTCGATCCTATAACGGTAGGCTTACTTTTATTTTTACTATCTGATCTCGTTTGCATGGCTCAATCACGTCCTGGTTGAAGTTCGTTCGCTACGCTCACTCACCTGTATGTTGGAGCTCGTTCGCTGCGCTCACTTTCCTTCAGGTTAGCTCGTTCGCTACGCTCACTTGCCTTCAGGTTAGCTCGTTCGCTACGCTCACTCGCCTCCAGGTTGCAAATTAGCTGTTGTCATAAATGTAAAAGAAATAATAGTGCTAGTGCTGCACCCTGTTGGTAATCCTTGTAACTTTAATGCTATTGAACATCACAGAACAGAACCAACTTGTTTAATTGAAACAGCTGTTAAGATTCAATAATTTCATTTCTCATAAGGTTAACATGGGCTTCCAGAAATTCCACGTCAAAAATCGACAAAAACTTGATTTTCAAGGGTTTACTGTTAAATATCTAACTGTCTCATATTCGATGAAATACGTCTAAAACCATCTCATATATGTATAGTATTTGGAAAATAAGTTTCAGGCGGGACAGTGCTATAGTTATTGAGGAGTAGTTGTAATAAAGTGCGTATTTTAGCGTTACCAAGAGAATGACAGATAGACAGACAGACAGACAGACAGACAGACAGACAGAAATTGAGATAAGGTTTGATTCGGTTTCTCTGACCTATGAAATGTAAAAATAACCAAAAAGTTCATTATTCTAAGCAATGTACAGACAAAACTCTAATTTTATTTATATAGATAAATATATATATATATATGAATTTGAACGGATGGTGTTTTTGCCCTCTGGGGACCTCAAAACGAAAAAGTAAATCGGTCCCGGGTCTAGGTCTTACCATGAGACCTACGGTAATAGCTTATTCCCTATATGGGAAATTCGCTAAAAACACTTTGCACACATATTTCACATTGTTTTGTACATTATGTTTTGCTAAATTCACACTTTTAGCGAATTTCCCATATAGGGAATATTAGCCATGAATGGATTTACCACTAAGCAAGAGGGGGCCGCAGAGGATAGAGAAAAACTTTTTTTAGATAAAAAAATAATTTAATTTAAACCACTAATTTACCGCGATCAAAGATGACCATAATGATGTCTCCGTAAACCAAGGGATATGCTCACGATTTAGCCGCATCCGACGGTGATGTGTCCTCAGGATCGCAGCCCGCGGAAGACGTTCAATAATTAGCCGCTGTCACGAGTGTCGATGATCATGTCCCCGTGATTGCGACCCGCAAGGAGATGTTCACGATTTCGCCGCGGTCGCAAGTATCGATGATGATGTCCCCGTGATTGCGGCCCGAGGCAGATGTTCATGATTTACCGCGGCCGCGAGTGTTGATGATGATGTCCCTGTGATTGCGACTCACGGGAGATGTTAACGATTTCACCGCGGCCGTGGGTAACAATGATGAAGTCCTCATGATCGCTGTCCACGGGAGATGTTTTTAACACGACTTTGCCGCGATCACAAGTGTCAATGATGATGTCCCCGTGATTGCTGCATCGCGGGAAATATTTACGATTCTGCCACGGTCGCGAGTGTCGATGATGATGTCCCTGTGATTGTGGCTCACGGGAGATGTTAACGATTTCGCCACAGCTAAAGGTGTCATGAGGATGTCCCTATGATGGCTTCCCGAGGGGACGTTTCCGATTTCGGCACGGCTGTTGGAGACAATGATGATGTCCTCATGATCGCAGTCCACGGGAGAAGTTTTTAACAAAACGTTGCCACGATCGCAAGTGTTGATGATGATGTCCCCGTGATTGCAGCCCGCGGGAGATGTTCACGATTTTACTGCGGTCGCGGATATGATCATGATTTCGCCGCAGTCACGAGTGTCGAGGACGATGTCCCTTTTTTGCAGCCCGCGGAGGATGTTTACGATTTTGCCGTGGTCACGGATACCTATGATGGCTTTGACTTGGTTTAGGAGAGATGTCCACGATTTCATCCATGATCACCGGTATTGATGATGATGTCCCCTTGATTCACAGGAGATATTCACTATTACTTCCGCGATCGCAAGGAATTTCCACCACAGGGGGGGCCGCGCAAGTAATTTGGCCTAGGGCCGCAAGTACCCTAAATCCGGCACTGAATATTAGTGAATTTTCCATATAGGGAATAAGCTATTACCGCAGGTCTCATGGTAAGACCTGGACCCGAGGTTTAAACTTGTTAAACTAATTAGGCTATATTTAAATAGGTAGGGAATAAATCTGATATTTTTAAGGAGATATTTTAGTGTAAATCCAATCAGCCAATGGAAATTCGCTTAGTCTGCAGGTTTGCTGCGGCGGGGGTATTTTTTAATCCTAGCGTCAAATTACAGAAAACACATAGCCATATAATGTACAGTAGACTGTCTCTTAAATCCGGACTCCTCGGGACCGAGGTCAGTCCGGATAACGGTTTTTCCGGTTAAATTGACTTCCCCAAAAACTCGTTAAAACGGACCATTTAAATGCATACTGTGTAAGCCAATAATGGTTAAATTACGTAAGATATTGTATTTAAACATGTCATCACTGGTCTCGAATCTAACCCACGAGAACAGTCGTTTCAGTACCACCCACTTCCTGCCGATCTACTCCGGATAGACTAAAATAAAACATACCTCGTCTTGCAGTTCAAACAGTGTGTTTTTGTTAATCCACTACATGTTTCGCCATGTTGGCATTTTCAAGTGGTACACAGAAACTTTGAAACTTTATACCATCCGAATTGGACTTGTCAAGTTGTAGAAATTTACATTTACACATAAAACTGTATATACATTTAACACGCACGAACAAAACATTTTCATGTAGGCCTACAACACTTATTGCAACCCGATCACGGCACTGACGGTACTGATGTAGTGGATTAACAAAAACACACTATTTGAACTGCAAGACGAGGTAGGCCTATGTTTTATTTTAGTCTATACTAAGCTGTTCAGGGGCTAAAAAATGGAATTTAATTTACTCCGGATATACTGATGTGCTGATAAAAATTGCCGGTTAAAGAGATGTCACTTCCTCCGAGCGTAGTACGGTTAAAAAGTGTCCAGATAAGAGGGAGTCTACTGTATGGCATATTAAAATGGCATGTATGGAAATGTTTATGCTCATTTGAGGAAAATTTTAAATGGCTAATCCTACCTTCCATAATTTCCATCGTTCCTCTTCTTTTTCCCATAGTTTACTCTGAACCGTTGCTGGTTTCTCATTGACTCTACACAGTTATTAGCTTCATCAGCAGTAGAGTAGCGCACAAAAACTAAGGCGTTTACTCTATGGAGTCTCGCAACACAACCAAACTCCTCGAATATTTCATGGAGCTGAAAATAATTTGTTTCATTATATATAGTTAAATATTATATCAATTCAAATTTATTTTAAAAATTGACACCTTACTACACATTGTAGTCTGCTGTAGAACAAAGCAACACACCCCAACAATATAGCAATGGAACAATATATGACACCAATCTTCATTGACTAATTTGATTTGATTGTTGTCCACAGTCATGTCTGTTGTGCCTATTATTTGGATTGAATTTTTTTCAACTTAGCCTATGTTAGGGCCACAGAGTCTCTATGGAGTTTGAGCTCGGTACCGCTACAATGGGCATTAGTTTGGTTTCCTTCCACTAGCTATATTAAATGAGTTTGGGATGAAGAATTATTTACATATTAAAATCAAACCAGTAAACACCTTTAAAAGCCAAGTTATAAGGGGATGTAACAAATCTAATGTGATTCTAAGAAATATTGGATGTGCAGAGCTGTAGGTAAATAAAAAATTGCCCACATATTTATCACAAAAATTATGCATACGAGATTTTTAGTTTGCTTTGATAAAACCAAAAAGTTAATCTTAACCAAATTAGGGTCTGTTTATTATTTTAGGTGTCTACTAATATTTAAAAAATATATATATTTTATTGCAACATTGGTTAGTTTAAATCTAGACTTTAATTAATTTAATCTAGCCTATCGAGAAATATATATTTATTCCATTATTCCTTAGCTTACCTCATCATCCGAACAGTCTTCAGCATTTTGCACACACACACTGTATAATCCGTCTGGTCCTGGTTCTGCCATTATTTGCGTCTAAAACAAAAAAAAAACCTTTCCTCAGTCATTGTCTACTTCAATAATCACCTCAAAGAGTCTGCTACCAACCCCGCGCCACATCGGACCAAATCAGTATCATGATAGCACTATCTAAATGTTTATTGTGTATTCGTACCATTTGAATGTTTTTTGTGTTCGTGTCGTCTGTGTTTTAAATGTGTTTTTGACGAGTTGCAAGCTTTGAAAATGTTGTCTTCGCAACAAAACATGTAAGCTGATGAGCAATATTAATCATTGGACTATTTGATGGAGGTACGTCAAAAACCTATTATCGTCGTAACAATATAGTCCAGGGGCCAGAAACAAGAATTTTGCTTAAAATATGGATGTAATAGTTGCACAAACAACATATTGAAGTACAAGCCAACATCTAAAAAATAAATTTTGATAAATTAACTAAAAGGCTTCCACGATCTGTAGGGTCCAACGACGTCACAGACATAGACTTTATTCAAAACAGTTGACAAATCGCCCTAGTTAGTCAGAGCCACTCATCACCAGAGTAGTTAAACTTAAAAGACATTTGTACTTATAAAGTTGTACCGTATACAAATTGAGTTAGATACTTCCAAAGAAATCATGCCTGAAAGAACATTGACGGTCTATAAAAGGCTACATTGGACACATTTTAAAATCAATTTTTAGGAAAGACATGCAATTTACAACAATGTAGCTTCAGTGAAGATTAAGTGCAGGGCAAAACTTGCAAGGCTCAGTGTTACTTTTGAAAAATTGCAATACAAATTGGACTGAATCACAACTCCCAGATGTGACAAAGTTGATCTCACAGCAAAAATTGATCTTAATTCTTAACCAACAGAATACTTCTCTGAGGTTATTAAGGCTAAGCTAGCGCATGGTAAATGTTTTGATCGGTCAATTAAAAAATTGGCCAAAAATAAATCGCCCTTAATTTATGTCTAGGCGCACTTGTGGCGATTTTTTTGTCAAAAAGAAAAATTGATTTTTGAGTGTGTTAAGCTGTCCTAAAATGAACTTTGTTAAATTAACCTATGTTTGTGCTCTTCTAATTAGATCAAAGAAAAAAAGAAGACAATGTAAATATTGGGGTTCATCCAATAGTAAGTCAGAGACTTTTTTAAATGGACAGTTTTATAAACTGTGACATGACACAAAGTTCATTGCACAACTTTTCCATCAAATTTTTTTCACTATATTCTTTCAAATTTTTACTGTTCAGCTTTGGCCTTTTTCTATTTCAGTTATAAACAGTTCTGTATCAAAATCTGTCACTGTCATGGTACTGTAAAAAACAAGAAAAAATAGCAAAGAATACGATACACTGACACACATGACGACAGATAACTCACACTGAAGTTCACTGACTCCTGTGAAGAACAACAAGTGACTGGCCAATTTTTTATTTGACAGTGTGCGAGGACAGGTAACAACCTGTACGTTACGGTACAGATTTCCGGCCGACAATCGTTTCGCCTACAAATCTGCATCACAATTTTTTATCTCCTGTGTGCACGCTTCCACTTTATACATGATGCACAGACTGGCCGGTAAAATAATCGCCACAAAATAATCGCTTGTGTGCGCCTATCCTAAGGGAAACTATTTGGTGTAGGATGGAGAAGAAACTATTTCAATCGGAAGAAAATACATGGCTGAACCCTTGAGCTCCAAGGCTGAAATATACAGTTGAGAAACTTTTGTCGCATCTATATGCCTGTACAAGAATCAGGAATCAATGTTTTATTCCATTAGACACTTACAGTACATGCATATGGACATGTCAAAAAGTGGACATGTTGCAAAAATACCAAGCAGAGTTGCAACTGTACCAACTCGGCTTAAAACTAGAGTACGTTCCACAGAGTACGATATATTATCGGATGAAACATCAGTTCCAAAAACTAGGCCTATTGCATGTGCTGCAACTTGATACCCTTGAAATTTAGAACCACCGTTACCGGTACATGACCAACTTTGAGTTGACCAATGACACTAACTTAATGCTTTACGCAATTGGATCTGATAAATAAGGTTAAGATGTTTTCTGCCCAGCCAGGAGATATATCAAGAGTTTGAATACTGTCTCGGTCACAGTGTGCAACCCCAACAATGTGGCAACTTTGCACTCGCCATGATAATAACAGTGTTTAACATTAGTACTGTGCAAATGCTCCATATAAATTAGTGCTATAGCTGTCCCTCGGTATGGCCGGGATTGCGGTGTTGCCACAATTCTTTTGCCGTGGCTTTGCTTTAGAAAAGACAACTCATGAGAAGTTCACAAATAGGCTAAGTTATCTGGAAAGCTTGGTGGTAGAGGCCTGCTTAAAAAGAAACAGAGGCTTTATGTGGAAGTTGACTTGAACAATGAAAAATAAGTTATGTGGGGCTAGAAGGGTTTACCTTAGAAACTTTTCTACATAAATTTGTATCGAGGCCTGGCCTAACTTATTTTTACAATTACAAAATGCTCAGAGGTACAGTTTCTTAACACGTTCGCGGCGGCACGTCAAATGGCGGGCGTATCCCCAGTGCGGCGCAGCGCCGAACAAACCCGATTGCCGCGTGTGATTGGCTTTCCAATTTCGGTCTGACGAATAGCAAATAACTGGGGTTAGTGTCGTGCTCTTCAACCACTTGTTTTCCTCCATTACCGCATGTTCTCCTAGTTTCATTATATAAGCCATCTTTTTATTGTAGTCCAATCATTGTCAAAAGATCACCTTTTTTTGCCTTCTTGTTATTGTTAAGTTTTCTTTAATAATTTATAATTGCACTGTTAAATTTTCAATTCATTTTTGATAACCTTTCATCTCGGTTCATGTTCCTCCCAATGTTGTTACATTCACCATTAGCACTTAAGTCACAAATCAATCATTGTCACACTCTCATTGTTCATACTTGTTATTGTTAAGTTTTTATATTTTATTGCACTGTCAAATATTCAAATTTTTATATTTTCCTTTTTGATCCTGTATTTAGTGAAGCAGGCTGTTAATGTTAGTTCAATAATTTTAAGACCATTGCATGTTTTTTTTTTCTCTCTTTTGTTTGCCGATGTTGTTTGTTCATAGAATATATATTTGTTTTTCATTTTTCATTACTCAGTTGCGAATCATTAGTGTTTAGTGGTGTTAGCATGTACTCATAAAGCACAACCAAATAGCAAGATGTAAATCTTATAGCATGTTAATAGTATTTATTGATCCACAAATTGTTATTGTCCATGTAATTGATTGTACAAATGGCGATTTTGCCATCAATAAATAAATAACGTGCGAGGATATCCTGCTTTTCAACGAGAGTCGACGTAGTTCGCTAAACATCCACAGATAGCAGCTCTGCGTGGAACGTAGCCGGTCCCATTGGAGTTGTATTGCCAAATGGAGGGAAAAAGACGGTACAAAAAGTAGATTTTAAAATTGCCAAACGGGGATTTTACGGGGAAATTTACTACCAACCTACACCACAACAAAATACAGTATAGCCTACTATTGAGCAGTGCTGTGTGAGGTTTCAAGTTTCTAGCTCTAATCCTGGCTTAAAAATAAAATCATATCGTACCGCATTGCAGCTTGGGAGCAATCGCACCCATCAGGATGGCATTAAGGTTCCGTATGGGAGCGATCGCTCCCATGCCGCCACGAACGTGTTAACTGGGCTATGCTAATATCAATTGAAACTATCGAATTGAAAATATTGATTAATAATCAATAAGTTATTTTTAAATATATCTATTGTAAAATTAAACTATCATAACCTAACCTAACCAACCAAACTTGCTGATGGTGAAAAAATCTCATTAAGGTTTACTTATCGAATCGTTAGTTTCAATCAATATTAGCATAGCCCAGTTAAGAAACTGTACCCATGCCCAGCATTATTTAGGTAAAGACACCGAATTTTTAACTTGTTATAAAATATGTAACCATATGTAGGTAGCCTATAACGTTTAGGTTAGGCCTATTATTCTTGTTATTAGAAACTACCTCACCACAAAAATCAAATTTATGTTAAGTTGTTTTGTTAAAACTAAAATAATAACATACAATTATTTAAGTATAATTTACCTTTTTGCTTACTTCAGACCGGTTTCGAGCCTTTTTGTTTGACAAGACAATGCGATGGCTTGTGCATGTGATGTGAGTTGTGATGTTTGTTGGTTTCTCTGTACCTGTATCCTGTATCTCTTCTCTTTTTTTTCTAGTTTCTTTCTAATTCCAGGTATCTTTATTGTATTGTTTTTGTTTGTAAGGTTGGGTTAGGGTTGGTTAGTTCAAATGGCGGTATGATTTTTTTTAGGTTCTACTGCTTTGTTATGACTTTGGCATTTAACTAGCCAACAGCCAACTTTATTTAGTCTATGATTTTTCTTTCGTGAACACTTTTTCCTAGCACCAAGGCACTGGTTATACTTCTCCCTAATGCCATCGACTATATAACACTATAGTTATATAATCTCAAGGCGTCTCAAGTCTCACTAGTGTTTTAAAGTCAATGCTAATGCCCAAGTGAATAATTTGTTTTTTTTGCACAGACTTAGAACAACAATTTAAAGGTTGCTCAGATGTTGCTCGCTCTTAAAATAATTAGGTCACCCGGTCACCGCAAAGGTGACACCACCACAACCCGCCCCCTTCATGTTTATTTATTTATTTATTCCCCGGAAATGCCATTTACAATACGACATACAGTTAATATAATCAATGTTAATTGTACAATCTTTAGTATTATTAAGTTAATACTTCTAGATACACTTAATTGATGAGTGGTTTCTATAACAATGTAAATGTACAACATTTCTCCTGCAAAAGGCATGTTTCGATTGATGTATCGGTCTGATGTGACAAAAGACAACCCACCACCTGCAATTCCGACAACTTGCAACACGACCACGACAACCCGCCACCAGGGGCCTATTTCATAATAATCTACAAACTAATATTATTAGTAAAATCAGCTGATTGCCCAATGCAAATATAATGGAAATTACAAATTACAAGTTACAGCTTAGTTTATTATGAAACAGGCCCCAGGATGTTATCAGAAGTGGTGGGTTCAGCAGGCGGCCGTGGTTCAGCTCCATGTGCACAGAAAACATACTACTATCAGATCTACTATGTATGTTTTCTGTGTCCATGTGGTACGCTGTCGTCTACACGCCACAACGCACGCCAGCGACAAGGTGTCACCCCGGCAACCCTTCGCTAATTTTTTTTAGTATTCTATATGTGACGAATAAAATACTTTATTGATTGTAAAAATGATTATCATAGAACATTACCTATGGGATAAACACATAGGTGATGAGTTAGATGCCAGACTTTCCAGAAAGGTTTTCCTCCTAAGGAATCTAAAAAACTTAGTCAGACACCTACTTAAAATTAGCCTATTATGGCCTCTGCCACAGTGAGCTACGGTGTCATCGTCTGGGGACACGCTTCGGAGACAAAGAATATTCTGAAAACTCAAGAGGCTGCTATTAGGGCCATAACGTCTAGCGCAAGGCATGAACATTGTAGACCACTGTTCCGTGACTTGGGAGTGATGACTGTTTACAGTAGCCTAAATTAATTTCCAACTGTCTGGTACATGTTAAGGAAAACATAGACAACCTCAGCTGTAGAAACCAACTTCACAATCACAATACAAGAAGAGGAGAAATTGTTAACACCCCTTTTCTGCAGACTGAAAAAAATACTGCTGTGCAGTCCGCACAATTTTTATTTCAGCTGCAGTTATTTTAATAACAATAATACCCCCGCCGCAGCAAACCTGCAGACTAAGCGAATTTCCATTTGCCTGATTGGATTTACACTAAAATGTCTCCTTAAAAATATCACATTTATCCCTATTTAAATAGAATCAGTTTAACATACTTAGGTTTGCTGCAACAGGGAGGGTAAAAGTGTTTTTTATGTAAAATGTTAATTGTTAGTAAGAAATAAAAACATGTTCCAAATTTGGGCAAAATATGTTAATAAACAAGCAAACTACAACAGTTTACTTATTCTCCATAAGAATAACATGGGAATTTTAAATTTGCAATTTTTTGGAATTTTCTCCGTAACCATTAGGCGCATTATAACGCTTCAATATACTAAATTATTTGTTTTTTTAAACTCTACAAAATAGTTTAAAAAGAAATTGCAAAATTTGATGTTTTTTGGGTCAAAAATGGGAAAAACCCATTTTTACCCCATAAAACCCCCCATAAACCCCCGTTCCCATGGTCCGATCATGCTGGTTCGCGAACTCGTTCGAATAAACGTAGGTTTACACGTTTGTACCAAATTTAATCAAAATCGGATCATTTTTGCTCGAGTTATCGCGCTAACGGACACATATATATATAAATATATATATATATATATATATATATATATATATATATATATATATGAATTTGAACGGATGGTGTTTTTGGCCTCTAGGGACCTCAAAACGAAAAAAAAATCGGTCCCGGGTCCAGGTCTTACCATGAGTACTACGGTAATAGCTTATTCCCTATATGGGAAATTCGCTAAAATGAGAGCATTCTATTTGCTGAGGGAACACCATTAGCGCAATGAAACAATACGAAGCCATCGTTCTCGGTAGTCCAGTGGTAAGCGTGCCGGGCTACGAATCTTGAGGTACCAGGTTCGAAACTCATTGGGGGCACAAACTTTTTGTCTAAGATTTTTGCATTATCAGCAAGTTTGGTTAGTTTTGTTAGGTTATAACAGTTAAATTTTATAATTAAAACATTATAAAATTGAATTTGAGCTATTTATAGTTTTATTTTATGGACAGAACTATTTTTTTCGATTAGTAAACCTTCATTCAATTTTTTCATTATCAGCAAGTTTGGTTAGTTTGGTTAGGTTATGACAGTTTAATTTTATAATTAAAAAATATAAAATTTAATTTGAGGCATTTATAGTTTTATCTTATGAACAGAAATATGTTTTCTATTAGTAAACCTTCATTCAGTTTTGTCAGTATCAGCAAGTTTGGTTAGTTAAGTTAGGTTATGACAGTTTAATTAAAAAAATAATTATATATTTTTTTTAGTTTTAGGCCTATAATAATTTTTTTTTAATTTCTAATTTTTAAACTCTCATTTTGTCCGTATTAAAAAACTGCAGTTGAAATAAAAATCGTGCATCCAGTCCCTGGCATTAGGCTATAAAACCATCTTGACAAGGACACAAAGTCACTCCCTCTCAAAGCCGTAGCCAGGGGGGGTTAGGCGGTCAACCCCCCCCCCCCATCACCCGAAATCCCAAAATTTAGTAGTAAAAATTAACACTGGGTTTAAAAAGTGCAAGTTAAATTATAGAATAGAAACCACCCAACGGAGGATTATATTTGATGTTTTATTATGTTTTGCAGTAACCATTCATATTTTATATAATAATTAATTCTATTAATAAATCTGATCTATTTAAGAGGTAATAAAACTATACAGGTTCAACAAAAATACTTTTCTCAAACAAAACAGATTTATCATCCTGTAATATTTTACATATGCAGCTATATCAACATTTTAGAAATAAGAATGGGAATTGGGTATTTCAATAAGTATTTCAATGAAAGTGCTTAAATCTGTTAGAGACAGTTCAGTCATGACCTGACCCAGTGGTGGTTCCAAGGGGAGGGGGCTACAAGGGGCTGAAGAAAGTACCAAATGGTGTTTAGGAGGATATGGCCGACGGCCGTAGCCTACAGTATGGTTATAAATTTATGAAGGCAATTGTCATAGTTAAAATTTGTAAATGTCTACCTGCTTATGACAAACAACAGGTTAAATGGGAGTTTTTTTTTAGAATTGGAGACAGTTTTAGGCGTTAAAAATTGCTGTAGAAAGTCACTAAACTATATAATGGCAACTAAGGGACCTAGAGTTTATAGTGGAATCTGAACCACATTTTTGCCTTGGTATTAACCACGAATACTAGAAAAATATTTTTCTAGTATTCGTGGTATTTAACCTAATTATCAGGATAGTACTGCTGATAGTCGTAGTACTCACTAGTGCTGACGTTAATCCACACCAGGGAGTATTGCATCCACCGTGCAATGAGTGCATGCCTATAAATATCCACAATTCGTAAAGTAGTTGGATTACTGTACAGGACGACGCCACCGTCGTAGTCTTATTTTTTGCTGTTTTATTTGATAACGGCTTTAGACTTTTAAAGAACGAAAATTACAAAAGGGAATTAGAAATAAATTAAAATAAATAATGTTTTATTATAACTAAAGTAATACGTATAATATAATACATAAAACAAAAAGGCAGTTAACCCTAAGATATAAATATTCTAATCACAGTATAAAACTAAGTTAACAACTTTTCAACTTATTTTTATCAATAAATATACATTATTGACCACTTAGGGATGTGGCACATGACGATGAACACGAAATGACATGACAAGCAATTTTGACAGAATAAGGGGGTTTACAGCACAATTTGCTCACACATTTAAAAGGAGCTTTTACAGTACCTCAAACACTATAAAAACCACATGAGAATGTTTTTTTTTATGGAGGTACGTAATATAATATCCTTGACTATTAGCTTTGACTATTAATACAACAAGTCAATGCTATTAGATACTGAAGTTGTACTAACATAGTCAAAGATAATATTTAGTATCATGACTAGCTGTAGCAGCAATCTGAAATACCCCCGCTGCAGCAAACCTGCATTCTAAGCAAATTTAAATCTGTCCTATTGAATTTTTACTAAAATAAACAATAAATATTTTACTCCCCAATTTAAATACCATTAGATTTAACGAGTACTTAGGTTTGCTGCTTACACCCCCCCCTTTGACGTGCAATCGACAAACTGAAAAACAACACATCTTTACATTTTTACAAGAGTATTTTGTCACACTCCTTTCTCGAGTACTTTACAAAGTTAAAGCCTTTTGGTAACGACCTCCTCTATTGCTTCTTGTTCTTCACCGTCGTCCGTGGCCTGCTGGTATACGTCTTGATGTAGAAGTTGATGAAGAGAGCGAGGAACACTAGGATCTGTGAGGCCCAGATGTATGTGAAGAGTCTGGGAAGATCGCATCTCATCAGGATCAACGTGGAGAGATACAACACGCCGATGATAAATTGGCCCTGGAGACCAAAAGAATGTTAAAAATTGTGGTAAAAACTAAATAGTAGGGAATACTGCTGAATATTGGCTATAAAATGTATTTTTAAATCATCAGTAGAAGAAATTCTAAGAGAAAGTTCCAATCCAAATGATTGTGGATGCTACATGCAGAGATTTCCTGCACAGAAGCCCGAGACGCCACAGAGAAGTAAGGTACAGAGGAAAAATTATGGTATATTTCAGTGGTGTCTAGCTCAAGTAGTTGGTGTCTAGGGCAATATCCAACACCTTCTCATGTACTACAGCACTCAAGGTGGAGGAAGACCCTGTGCCCTATGTGATAGGAATTTCCGCTCAGTGTTCGACACCCGGACTCTTCCTTTCTCGTCACAATTATATTTCCGATACGACATATAAAGTTCCGAGTCGTCCCATAAGCAAATTTCCTCCCTACCTTACTTCTCTGTGGAGCCACTAACATTGACTATACGCTATAATTACTACTTTGAAAAAATCATTTAAGATCTAAATGAACTCACATACAATGTCTCAAAGCTCCAAGTTTTTTTTTTGTTTTTTTTTTTTTTTTTTTTGTAACTCTGGCTTATATCTTGCTTTATAACGTTTTATACTCGATTTTCATTTGACCAAGGTTAGGGATTTCCCAGAGAATAAAATATTTTGTGTGAAACTTTTAGTTCAGCTTTTAAATCTTTTAGGGAATCAATCTTTCAATGGCCTGTGATTTTTTCAACATTCTGAAAACGTTTGCACAGACGTTATACTTACGATCTGCATGGTGGTGAGGTAGCGTTTCCACCACAGGTATCTGCGTACTCTCTCTCCGAGAGCAGCTAGGAAGTAGTAAGTATACATGACAACATGAACCAAAGCATTCATGAAGCCTAGCAGAACTGCTTGCTCTCCTACGAAAATAGATTAGATATTAGTTTCTCACATGTCTAATACCATCATTCTACCAGTGCACTTATTTTAAGGCGAAGTTTTTAAGGATGAATTGAATTGAAAATGGATGAGATGATAGCTTTGTAAATGACTAGCATCAGCTGTTTCTTAAACCAAGACTATTTAAAGCCCAATAAAGTACAACTGGGTCTAGTTTCAACCCATAAGGTACTGCATTTTCTCAGGATTGTTTTATTCTGGTTTATTTCTGATTACATTAAATCCACTCATTAACTCCCCCCAGCTAAGGCTCTTTAAATAACTATCCAGACAAAGTTAGAACTTAAAATAGTCTTGATCATCCAGAAAGATTATCTTGTAAGATGTATAGGGCATTTTATAAGATTTTTTAAAAATATTTCACTTTCAAGTATCAAAAGATGTGAGTAAAGTTTTCACTCATTTTCTATTTTCAGAACATATTTTAACACAATACTCAACAATATCTCTAAACTCTTTTCAGAAATTTTAAAATGAAATAAAGATTAATTCAGATCAATTTGGCACAACTGTGGTGCAGTTGAAGCCAACTTTTTTTGGGGGGGGGAGGGGAATTCAGCAGTCAAAACCTTTTGTTTCAGAACCTGCCAAATTGCGCCTCTGAAATTTAAGTATGAGATGCTAACCACTTCAAAACCCAATCCTTGGCCAATCTTCAACACTATAACCATATCCATACTTCCTGCATTGCATTTGCAATGCTAGAATATAAAAGTCTTGTGATAAATGAGTTCAGTAAAACTTCTTGAAGATCTTTGTTATGATAAAGAAGATTTCTTATGTTACCTCGGAGATATTTGAGAGTTGCCCAAGAGAACAGCGCCATAGCTGAGTGGTGGTAAACGTGCAGGAACGTTACATGATCCTGCTTCTTCCTCAGCACAAAGAATACCTGGGGGACAAGAATGTTAAAATGTTAAGCACACAACAAAGACTACTACAGCGTGTGGAAAGTTTGGGAATTGATTTATAAAGTCCAACATTCACATTATTTTATGACACAGAAGATTAGTCTGGAACTTACTCTTTGAGACGGATCAATCGTGTGTGACATCATAAAATGTATGAAAAAGCCTTTGGTAAATCCTTTACCAAATTTACCAGCCATTATGGCTGGATTTAATCATAGAGCTCTAGCGTGTCAGATAAGTTCAGGGTATAAGTGTGTTCTGTGATTTACTTACTAGAGCGTCAATTTTAATTTTTAATAGGGAACATTATAGAAGCGATCAACCCAAAAGATCACACAACGTTAGAATTTAACAATCTGTACTGTTGGTTGGAATATAATAATATCTACATGGATGTATAAACCTTATCTACAAAACAAAAGTTGTAATTTTTGCTGCCATTTAAATCAGTGAGAGATTGAATCTTGTTACTCATGTGCATGTGCTATGATTCTCTATGATAGTCTTCTAAAAGTAAAAACATGAAAAACATAAATTTAAAATTATATTCTATTTAGAAAATTTGTTCAATTTCCTCCAGTCAAAAAATTAATAATGTTAACATTAGAAAAGAACTTCAGGGATTTTTATTTAGATTATCATATTATAGTTCGGCCGCTTAGAAAGCGACCTCCTCCAGCATTGGTTTAGCATTAGCGCATAGGTCGTTTTCCTAGCGGCCAAACTATAGTATGCATTTTAAGTGGACACATTTATTTATAAAAAACAATTTGATACTTACAGTGTCGGCAAGGTCCATGATTTTCAACACTGTGTAGTGCCACATTGCATTGCATAGCTGAAACAAAAGAAAATTATTTGTTATATCCTGACTAAATAATGTAAGTAAAGTCATTGACTTTAGATACTGCAGCCGACATCTCTTCCTATTGTAAAATTGGAAGCTTTTTTGATGTGACATCGGTTAAGCTGGAGTGGGTCGTAAGTTTTTTTAATAGTTTACAAACTTATAAGCAAAAACCACCTATGACCACCATATTTCTAATTTAAAACAGAAAAGTCCTCAAAAGGAGTTAGGTTCAAGGTCAATCCCTGGTCCTTCATTCGAAGTTACCCACGTAAACGGAAATACAAACAATACAATCATAGACAAATACACACGCAAATGTATGCGGTACGGTTGTTACGTATTTAAATTGCATCCATAATGCATCAAGCTTGGATCAAGCCGTGGGTGTGGAGCGTTTAGCGTGTAATTGTGTACGAAAATGTAAGGTCAAATGCATAACAAATCTTGTAACACGGTATGATTGGGACAGTAACAGCTAGTGAATAAAAAGGTAGCACAGTTTGTAGACTTTTGGAATTAAGGCTACACAAAATCGTTATGAAGCTTTTACTTTGTAAAATATTAAGCCTGACACAGCCCAAAACATGATATAAAATGTTCAAATGCATCCAGTTTACTTATAAATGAATTCTATATATAGGTACTTTTAATACACAAACAGTTTTTTTGTGACAATTACTACTCCGAAACTACTGAACCGATTGACATGTATTTGGTATCATTGGAAAGAGCGTAACGTGAAGCTGTGCAGGAAACTTTCTTTTTAGGGAAATAATTAGAGAGTGAGCCCCTGAGGCCCTTTAAGTTTTGTATTTAATATTTATCTATGAGCTTAACATGGGAAACAAACATTGTTATGAAACTCCAGCTGTTGTCAGAAATTAAAAGTGAGAAGAAGAACATATGTTAATTGTAAACTGGCAATAAGTTTGCTAACTTAACAGTTTGCTACATTTACTGACTTGGTTGAAATGAAATATTTACAATTTGAATTTGGGTTTGCGTAAGTATATTACAATGGAAAAAAAGCGAGAGAGCCTGGACGATTTTATATACCAAAAAGAAAACTGAATTAACACTGTGCTGCATTTCTTAGATTATTCTTACACGAATTAAGCTTTCCATTAATTAATAAAATCGGTCCAGTAGAACTCTAGATGTAGTTGTACAGAGATTTTTTAAACTGAATTATATATAAGTAGATAGATATTTTCAATAATGATTAATCTTTGTATGGAAATGATTGTTAATTAAATTGTGAATGAAATGGGGACGTCTACCATGTTTTTATAGGTTGTTTATAGTTAAAAAATTAATGGTTTTATACTAACATGATTTTTATTTATACATATAGTTATTGTGTTTCAGTTTAAAACTAACCTCTTCACACTCGTAGTCGTATAAATCTAGACTCAAGAGCATCAAGTATCCCTTAATTCAGCCTTTGAAACTTGATTTATGGCAAAACACATCTTTGAGTATTCGGAGTCTTTATTTGCAGTTTTTACTAACTATTTTTCTTTTAGGTTACCAGTAACACTTTTGCTTATCTCTAAGTGTAGATTCATCGGTGGGATTAATTAGTTTTGAATAAAACTAACATTTTCATAGGCCTAGCACACAATTGTGTCTGAAATCATATATCATACATTAACTGAGTAGGTTTTATTTGGTCTAAATAATTGGAAAAATGGATAAATAAAAAAAAAATATATTTATTAATATCAAAATAATAGTGCGTGTTTATAGATTCAAACATAGTAATACTGTTTTAAGTCAATTGCTTTATCTATCGTCAGAGCTACTGTACTTGCTATTTTAAACTACCCGCTTATTCCTATTGTTCTGTAACTGCACTTTGTTCAGCAACACGACCTAGCAGATTTCGTTAGAACTAAGTGTCGGTAGCGTAGATTGAATATTTAGGTGCGTTTAAGAATGAAGAATATGAAATAAACGTCTACCATTCTAACTAGTCCTACAGAGGTTAAGAAAATGTGATCAATAATTGGAATTTAACAAATCAAACAATGTAGGAAACGTATGTTTTCATTAACTCGAAGAGAAACAATTAGGTTCTCGCTATGAAGATGAGTTCCACCGTCCCAATATAAGGCCAAGTGTTGGATGGGTCTGATACTTATTGACGGCTGAGGGATCTTGGATGTGCCTAATGAGCTAAAACTCAAAGGGAATATCTGAGTGAAACCGGTCTTTTGCTGGTGCCCCTGTAATACTGTAATTATGAGAAATTAAAATGATTTATCACTATTAATTTTATTTTCTTGTTGTGTTTTAAAACAAGTGTATCATGTTATTTGAAATTCGTATCTTTAGATTTTTTACCAGAATTGTAGTCGATTCTGTTATAATTAACCTTTGTACTTTTTTACAAATAACATTTCTAGATGGAGTACAACATAATTTGTAACAAAATTTAATCCAATGAATATTATAACAGACACGTTATTGTTATAACGGTATGGATCATAAACATAATCAAATGACGTAACTGACCCAAATGGAAATGACTATATATAGCAGTAAAAGCTGGTTTGGACATATTGTGGATATTTATAGGAATACACTGTGGATGCGATACTCCCTGGTGTGGATTACGTCCGCACGAGTGAGTACTACGACTATCCGCAGTACTATCCTGATAATTAGACCAATTCGTAAAAACCAAGGAAAATTATGGTTCGGATTCCACTATAAACTGTAGGTCCCTTAGTTGCCATTAGCTGTATGGGCTATTAATTAACAGCTGTGTCTAAGGAATGTCGGCCTTAGTCACTAACAAGACTATACAAGATCGCGCCACTCATCCTACACTCATCTCCATTCATACTTGGCAAAATACCTACTTTGTATGGTCGCCATTTCATTGAATAGTAACAGTATTGACAGCTCCATTTGAACATTAGTAAAATCATGTTTACTTTCGGGCCAGTGACGCCATTAGCTTATGTTTAAGATCCATACAGTTTCTGTTCTTATATTCGTAAGTATAACCCAGGAAAGAACATAAATATAATTCATGTTTCATTTGTTTCTGTAAACACTGTAATTTCTGACATTATTTTCACCGACAGTAAAAATATTTACACAGCAGTAAAAAACATTTTACAGCTTATCTTATCCCCAAAAACCGTACTACGATATTTTAAAAACACTTTTAAACCCTTCGATTATTTCAGCAATAAGCATCACGTATGTTGTGGCGTAGTATGGACGATTGTGTTATTTCGTAGGCGGGTCACTACTCACAATTTCTAAACCGATCGTTTATTAAGTACCTTCTAGAACGTACGGGCCCCGCCCCCTCAGCTCCTAGCTACAACAGTTGACTTCCTTTTGCGTCTCAAATAGAATCTCAGCCTTTCTCTAGAAATAATGCTGATTTGATTCGCATATAGACGTTTTAATACAGAAATTGATCTAGAAGTAGCCTAGTAATTTTCTAGTATTTGCGTTACTCTATTATTTTAACATTATTGCCACCAGGGGCCCATTTCATAATAAACTACAAGTTACAAGTTACAACTTGTAACTTGTAATTTCCATTAGATTTGCATTGGGCGATCAGCTGATTTACTAATAATATTAGTTTGTACTTTATTATGAAACTAGCTGTGAGTACCCGTTCTTCGTACGGGTTTATTCAAGAATAAGGTTACAAACTTTTTGTAATAACAATGATTAATTTATTTTAACATAATTTAGTACATAAAAATACATTAAAAAACTTAAATCTTAAAAAATATTCGAAAGTTTTAAATAACAAAGTTGGCAAAGATAGCAGAGTTGAAGCGCTTAACATTTGTCACAGCGAAATTACAATATCAAAATTTCAAAAACAACAAATGACATACATTGAAAATAAATATTAAATAGTGAAGAAAAACAAAAAACACAAAAAATTAAAAGGTTGCCTAACTTAATGCCTCTTCATATACTATATTAGTGGTTCGACCGCCTGGGGCATGTATGTAAAGGTTGGTTGGCGATCGCACTCGGCTGCACGCCACGTACAGCTGTCCGTGTGAAAAACATTGCGCGTCACCTAGTTCAATCCCTGCTGTTGACAGTGTCTGACCTTGCGATTTGTTGATCGTCATGGAAAAACATGGATTTAAGGGAAATTGCAGGCGCTTAAACTCAAAGGGATAGTTGCTTGGGATGAGGGGGATCCGGGGGACAAACACCACTTCTCCCGCACCACAGCCTGTTAGAATTTCGGCTTCTATGACATTTCGCTGGAGACTTCGAATTCGAAGCCGAGTCCCATTGCATAATTTAGGAGGGTTTAAATTTCTTAGAAGCATAACGGGAATACCAATTTTAAGATTAAGTTCGTGGGCGGGTAGTCCAGGTGCTGTCACCGAGTCAAGAAACTCTGCCGGGTAGTGCACTGCGTCATCATTTCTTAGAACTGTGTTCACCGACAAATATGTCTTGTCCTCGCTTAGGAATAGGGACATCACTTTCTTATTTATCTTTGTTGAAACTTCATTTTTTGGAGTGAGAATAGCCCTATTGCATAACCAGGCACTGCTCTTGTTTGGGAGGTCTTCAATTCCTGGATAGACTTTCTCGATGAGTTCATCTTGGGTTTGAACAATAACACCAAGAGAAGGTGGTATATCGATAGTTCCATCAACGTTACCCAGCTTTCCATCTCCCAACTTTAACAGAACATTGGAGAATTCTTCCACCTCATTTCCAATATTGGCCCGCATGTTCTTTGTTAACGCCAGTTTGTTCATTATTGGCCATAGGGTAGATCTTTTCATAGAGGCGTTAATTTCATCCGCCCTTGTGCCTCTCACTACAACTGGCAGAGTTTGGCGGAAGTCACCAGAGAACAATACCGTCACTCCACCCATGATCTTATTACTGTTCCTCATATCTTTGAGTGTTCTGTCGAGGGCCTCGATTGTCAGTTTATTGGACATCGTACACTCGTCCCAGACTATTAAGGAGGCTGCTTGTAGAACTCGTGCCATGGGAGCGCTCTTCGATATAGAACAAATCGGGATGTCCATATGCTCTACATTTATTGGGATTTTGAACATGGAATGGGCAGTTCTTCCACCTGGCAGAAGGGTTGCTGCAATGCCAGAAGAGGCCACAGCAAGAGCAATCTTACTGTTTGATCTAACCTTTGCGAGAATCAGCTTTATGAGGTAGGTCTTTCCAGTACCTCCAGGAGCATCAAGAAAAAACATCTTGTTTCTTTGTCCATTTATGCTCGTCAAAACTTGCTCATACACTTGGCGCTGCTCCTCATTGAGAGTTGGCGTACACTGTTCAATAAACCTAATGAGTTCGGGATGGTCGTAACTTGTCTCTCTGATATAATCATGGTTTAACTGATTGACATCTATGGCTGGTACTGGTAAGTTGTAGCTTTCGAGCCCAAGTCCTCCCATGCGAGTGATTGTCTCTTGAATGCTTGCTAGGCACTGGTCATATATGATAGGATTGTTTTCAAAGGTGGTGTTAATGTCGACTTGATGTGCAGATCTCAAAAAGTCCTCTGAGAGGGAATCTCTGAATCTGATCCAGAGCTCAAGAGGGTTGCTCACATTGCAAAATACTAATAAGACACTGAAGAGATCCCTCAACTTGGTGGGACTGTCAGAAACAGCAGCTTCTGCAAGAGTGCCCTCCCAGCACGCATCATCCTCTAGTAAACCAAGGGCACGGCATGCGGATTGGAAATTTGGATGGAGCACACCATCAACAGTCTTGAGATCCTCAAAAGATGTTGGACCTCGAACAGTGTGTAGGAGGAGTCGGAGATGGTAACGCTCACTGCAGCTTGGATGGACAGTGTACACCCTACCGATGCACGGATCTTGTCTCACGTCAGGATGTCCTGGTACTGGTTGTCCTCTCCGCCTCCTGGACCAACCTCTTTGTTTAGAGTATGTGTAATAATAGGGCAACTCGTTGTAGAGGAGGGTTCTTGAAAAGGCGTCCGTCTGGCAGAGATTGAAGAAGGCCAAAAGAGTTGTACTTTGGTCCATTCTTTCCCGAACATTGCCTGGCTGGAAATATACTCTTTGCTCATTTGGAAGGTGGACCTCTAAATGCAACACAGCGGGAAACCTCTCATGTATAGGAAATGATAAAATTCTCTATACCGCCTCAGATGTGCATATATACCGACCACTTTGGTACATTTTAATTTCGTCTGTGTCATTACTTACTGCAAATGTGGCCTGGTCACTGCCCTTGTTTATGTACTTGCAGATGTACTTTATAGATTTTACACTGCTACAGTACTCAACGTTAACATGTGTTAGAAATGTTCGGGACAATACAGGCGAGTAAGGTACTACCCATCGGTTGTCCATAGGGATTTCATCGTTACCTACTCTGATTAGGACATGATGGCCTCCATCATCTGGGGAGCGCCTTCTGTATGTTGGGTATCCATTGTCTCCTGTTGCCGTTTCATTGACAAATGGTCTAGGGTATCTTTTGCTACAGTGACCATCCTTCATACAGGGAAGCTTGCGCTGTCGCACATTAAAAGCTCCGCATGGTCCGTGCAGCATGTGAGTCTTGACTATATCTGCAAGTTCAGGATCAGTTTCAGGATTTGGAAGCTCTGCAGAAATGACTTGATCTATTCTATTTGGAGGAATGGATTCTTCAAGCCAAATCAGGATATGAGCGTGTGGAAGACCACGTTTCTGCCATTCAACAGAGTACATGTAGCAGCGAACTGAGCCATAAATCTGGCCTTTCATAAGAACAGCAATCATACAGTTAAGCTTCAAATGAAAAACTCGTGATACCACATCATACCGGTCGTGAGCAGACTGCCTTTCTCCAATTACACTCGTGATTTCTATCCATTTTGGATTTGTTGTCATTGTTATGAAAAGTTCTGGACGACCAAACTTCCGAACATAGCAAAAGGCGTCCTGTGTGCGAGAATGCATATATCTAGGACCTCCAGTGAAGGTGGCAGGTAAAATTATCTTTTGCCCCATTTCTTCTACGTTGTCGTCTCGTCTTAAAGCGTCTTGAAGGTGTATGTAATTCTCTGCTCTCAGTTCCTTTTGGTGCGTACGAAGATACAGCAGCCTTTCACTCTCAACTTTAGCGTACATGTCCACCAAGTACTGGTTCAAAAGCTGTTTGAATTTATGAATGTGATTTGCTTCACCTTCTCTAACCATAATGCGATAGGCGTAAAACTCTCGTGAGCTAGTTTTCTTTGTGGTTGGTTGTTTAGTAACCGGGTTTACACGATATAAATTGAAACTATATCCATCTTCGCCTCTACAAAACATAAGGGGATATTGTAGGGCATCATAAGATCGGTGGGTTTCATATATTCGTTTCAAACCCTGTTCTCTTGAATTTAAAATGATGTCTCGATGGTCACTTGGATCCCCAATCATCAAAATAGCAACCTCATTGACTGTTGGTTCATTGTATCTACCTGGGTGGTCCCCTGCAGGGCGTCTGTCGGCTCTAATAACAATTTTGAAATCAGGTGAATCTACAGGAAATGTTTCTAAAGTAGTTTTGAAGCTGAGCAAGTAGGCGTTATTATTCTGAAGCATGTTTTGCAAAGCGGCCAACATGTCATGATCAAGGTCTTGAAATAAACTTTGCCTTCTTTGAAGCTGGACTTGGTCATCCCCAACAAAGTAAATCTGAAGGTAAGACGGCGGAAGTCCAGGGGGTGGCAAAAGAGAGCCGATCAAATGGTACACTTGTCCTTGAACCTTAAATGTAGGCATATATGGTCCTTCACGGATTTCATTACCTCCAAAAGAAGTCATTTGGAACGCACTATTGTAGGCCCTGATATGTCTAAGAAAATTTCGCGATTGAGGTGATTCGTCCGATATCCATGTACGTAGCGGCTCAGGTGCTTCCAAAATAGACGGTATGGACACTTTACCAGAAGCACAACATATTCCACGTGGTTCCTTTGACCAACTCAAAGCGTGACAAAACCTACAAACTTTATCAAAATCTCCAATATTGGCAGCTTCACTGTAACGTGTAAAAGGATCATATTGGAATCCACTGTTGTGTGTGTCTCGCCATTCTGTTAAATTTCTTTCGACATGCCGAGTTCTTTCCCGCGCGATCCTAGTTTGTCTTTCTGCGTCGCTCTCAACGACTCTGTTCACCCTATGTCTTTCAGAATCAGCGGCAACACGGGCATTTCTGTCAGCAATGTCCTGGCTTGCTCGAAGTTCCTCCACTCGGGTCGCCTCGTCATGCAAAAGTAGAGTTTGCTCTTCAACAGTGCGACGGTACCTATCATTGTCGATTATATGTCTAGCTTCCCGCTCTTCAGGAGTTTCATTATTCCTACGTTGGTTTTGCCGAACTCTATCTCGTTCTTGCCTACTTTCTCTCTCTTCTCTTGTTTCATTTTCCCTCCTGCGAACGTGTAGGATTCGGTCACTGTTTCGACGTGCTCCTCCCTCCTCCACTGTCTCGTTTTCCCTCCTTTGAACATGTAGTATTCGGTCACTCTCCCGACGTGCTTCTTGCTCCTCCTCTGTTTCGTTTTCCCTTCTCTGGACGTGTAATATTCGGTCATTGTTCCGACGTGCTTCTTGCTCCTCCTCTGTTTCGTTTTCCCTCTTCCGTACGTGTCGTATTCGGTCACTGTTCCGACGTGCTTCTCGCTCCTCATCTGTCTCGTTTTCCCTCCTCTGAACATGTAGTTTTCGGTCACTCTCCCGACGTGCTTCTTGCTCCTCCTCTGTTTCATTTTCCCTCTTCCTTACGTGTATTATTCGGTCACTGTTCCGACGTGCTTCTCGCTTCTCATCTGTCTCGTTTTCCCTCCTCTGAACATGTAGTATTCGGTCACTCTCCCGACGTGCTTCTTGCTCCTCCTCTGTTTCGTTTTCCCTCCCCCGAACGTGTAGTATTCGGTCACTGTTCCGACGTGCTTCTCGCTCAACCTCTGTCTCGTTTCCCCTCTTCTGAACTTGCTGTATTCGGTTGCTGCACCGACGTGCATCTCGCTCCTCTTCTGTCTCATTTTCTTTTCTCTGGACGTGCCGTATTCGGTCCCTGTTCCGTCGAGCTTCTCGCTCCTCTTCCGTCTCATTTTGTATTCTTTGGCTAAATCTTAAACGTTCAGTGTCTCGCCTGCTTTCACGTTCTTTTTCATTCTGCTGAGACCTAAATAGGGCGACACGCTCTCGACTGGTTGAAGGTCGTGCATAATCTTCAACCACAACGGAACTTAAAATTGTCGACTCATTATTGCTATGTACACCATCATCAGAGTCCGAATCATCATAATCAACTGATTCCGTGGATACACACAATTTTTGTCTCTTGGCATTATTTGTTTTTCTACCCAAATTGCTTTTTCTCTTGCGAGGCATACTCTTCAGGACATATTTATTTAGAAACAATAGAAAATATTTCAACAAATAATGTATTAAAGATTAACTTGTAACCTCTCAACTAAAGCAACAAAAATATTGTCCATATGTTTAGTTGTAAACAAATTTAATTTGTGTTTGACACTATGTCAACGAATATCTCTACTGTACAGTATGAAACATCTGATTGATGCAAATTCATATGGGAATATGAACTTTTTTAAAAACATTACCTCAAAAAAAAATAAATTAAAAGAAGAGTAGATTTTCTTTTATTTATAAACGTGAAATAATTTAGGACATTATTAACTATTATAACTTTTATTTTGGTGTAAAGAGTAATGAACAATAATAAACTGGTCAAGTTTGTTTGCTGGTTAGTAGCGCACAGATATTAAAGAATAACAATCAGCTGATCGTAATTTTGTTATCTAAAATGTTTAACTTTTATATTGAATACTTTGTATTGAATCTGTAATTTGAATTAAATTTACTTCTAACCAATTAATGTATTATTATTTTAATTATTTGTACGGTAATGGATGAAATGTACAAAACCCATTGTTATAATTAGCAGAACTGGTGTTCAGTTATATAATATAGTATACATTTCGTATGGTTTTTAAGTTGTGTGAATCGATAAGGCTATGGTTAACCTTGAGTTCAAATAGGCTAACGTTTTCTAATCACAGCTGTATGCCAATGTCAAAATTAAGATTGTATTTCAATTAAAACCATGTGCATATGATTAGTTGTAAACAAAGCAACATTCTTCCAGAAATTCCACGTCAAAAATCGACAAAAACTTGATTTTCAAGGGTTTACTGTTAAATATCTAACTGTCTCATATTCGATGAAATACGTCTAAAACCATCTCATATATGTATAGTATTTGGAAAATAAGTTTCAGGCGGGACAGTGCTATAGTTATTGAGGAGTAGTTGTAATAAAGTGCGTATTTTAGCGTTACCAAGATAATGACAGATAGACAGACAGACAGACAGACAGACAGACAGACAGAAATTGAGATAAGGTTTGATTCGGTTTCTCTGACCTATGAAATGTAAAAATAACCAAAAAGTTCATTATTCTAAGCAATGTACAGACAAAACTCTAATTTTATTTATATAGATGGGCCACAGGACTGATGTACAATTGATATGATAGGTTACGTACCTTTTTATTCCGTCTCCAGTCCTTAATATAGTCAAGGGAATGGGTCTGACCCGAATCTAGTCACCCTTAAACGGAACCTATCATATAACCGTGATATAACTCTATGAGGTTCGAAGAGCGCTTTCTGGTCATTGAAAAATCGATTCTATTTGAAAATTAATTAAGGTTACTTCCTAATAACTGTACATGAGATAATCAATTTATATAGGGAAATTAATTTGTGGATCATTTAAGATGGGAACTGTTATATACACTTTTGGTTGTTATAATTTATTATGATAATAATTATACTATTGTTTGTTGTTATTATTATCAAATCCAAATTTATGGTTATCTGCAAGATTTATGGTTTATTAGATTACAAACCATTTTACGATATTAATTAAAAGCATCGTTACAATTGTACGAACATATTTTATTGTTTCACCATTGATATAAAAATTACTTTAAAATACAGTGATTAAGAAATTAATAAGTAGCTCGATTTTAACTCTAATTTAAGTTATTGATTTAGTCAAATAGATAAGACTATAAAGATCAAAATCAATAAACTATTTTAATCGAACAAAATTAACCTTACAAATCTATATTTGAATTGTCTTTAACTATATGGACATATGAAAATTTTGCTTAGGCTGGACGTAGCAAACGTTGTGGAAAGTTTATTTCAGATACCGTACTATCGGATTTTCAAAATCAAATAGGCCTGAACAGAAAATGAGACCAATTATGTAAAATGTCATTTTAGTCAAAACTAAGGGCATTTATCGTGCTAAAACTTTCCAAATGAAGCAGTTTTAGACCAAATATAACGTTAGCGCATGCTAACGATAGTTCCATAATACTGTAATTAGATTAGAGCGTAGAGCGTATAGACTGGATATTTAGGAGTCGTGTAAACCGTTTTAAGACGTCAAAACAGTTTACGGGGACAAATATTAGAAAGCTCTTCAAATTATAATTAACTAGTGCACCTGTTGCTCGAGTTCGAGCAATTGCAAAGTATTACAGGCGTTATTTCAAAACGATTAACAGTCATTATTTCCGATGACTTAAAGGAGTCAACTCAAAGATAATGTACCTAATCAATCACTCCACTCCAGTTATCGAAACTGAAAATGAACGCTCTTGTGTGTATCATGTGTTTACTATGAACAACTGTACCGGTAATTAATAAAAATTATTCGTCCGTTTAAGTAAACAAAATCTTTTATCCATAAGAAATACATTGGGATTTTGATGGCCTGTGGGGCAAAACCCGAGGACTTTTATTACAGGAATTAGTGAAAGGGGGCATCTACACAAACAATACTTCATTATGACACATCGTTTGTAAAAATGTATATTTTTTAAGTAGGTCCATTTTATTACTCAGTTTCACGTGCTTCAAAATATATTGTGGAATTGTTAAACTGCGCTTTTTAACTAATAAAAAATTACACTAGAGATATTTAGCAGGATGTAAAGTTATTCTCACTTGGTTATTAATAGGCCAAGATATTTTACAGAAATTTATGTTATTGGTTGACCCTCCTGAGCGCAGTAATGGGCAGAACAGAATAAATATTGTTTTCTAAATTTTCCCAAAACCATACCCGTCAATAATAATAATAATATAACATGTTTATCTTTTTTTATTATTTATCACATAAACATTTTGATCAGATTAATATTATTTTGTCAACTACAAACGCTTCGTCCTTAATCGAGCTGCTGTATTTGAACTTGATATTGATGAGATATTGATTGAGCGCGAAAATTGACCGAGATTCCAGTTTCCAGTTCGGGAGGTCATTGTTCTGGTCTTCTAGAACTTTACTTCAAGGTCAAAGACGATGGAAATTCTGACTGGATTGCTTCATCGAAGGAGTAACTGCTACAAGTCGCAGCGTCGAAGAAATACCTGTTACTTTCCAATACTAGGTCCACACGTTTCGAGTGCAACTATATCTTTAATTGGTCTGAGTGGAGGATAAGTTTTTCTTTTAAAGTAGGCCTAAATATCCGAACCATATTCTAGTTTTTAAAATCTACCTTTTGTTAGGTAGCACTGTTAATTAAATATAAATAGAACAATGAAAAATGGCAAATTAGGGTCCAAAATTGACATTGCTTAGGATCTAACCAAACTTCAGACATGAAGGCGATTACTAAAACCACCCGGCTATATAGACAATTATGTACAACTGTCCGGTGTTCAAATGTGTTAAATGTAATAATTAGTGTTATCATATATGTAAACAAACAATGCAACAATAGAAACAAAACAGCTGATAGATTATTGTTAAAATATAATGAGGACGACAGCAACACATCACCTATTCATTTTTACCTCATTTACGAGAATAAAAACAATTATTTTAGAATAAATAATTTGAACGATTTTTCCAACTAAGTCTTAGTTGGAAAACTATAAGCTCAAAAACTAAACTTAACCAAAACCATTTAATCCTCCAAACCTTGTTTAAACTGCTTAGTAAAAACTACGTGATTCCAGGGAGGTGAGACTGTTTACAGGGGTTGCTGGTGTTCGAATCGTCGAAAATATAACATAATTAACTCACCACAAGTCTAAGAGGGTTAAGCCGCATATCCAGGGGTTGACAATAATGTTTCAATAGGTAGGACAAAGCACCGTCTGTTGTAAAGAGCTGAAACAAAAAATATTATTTTTAAAGACAGCAAAAATATATGTTTATAATGTCCATTTACAATGCAGGGGTGCGTGGTATTTTTCAAGAATTAATCAACAATGTATATACAATAACTCTTAAATCTAATAAATCTTGTATGAGTATCTCGGAAATAAATTCATGCATCATATATATTTTCTACAGAGTTATTCATTCGGAAGAGATTCATATTTAATTCTAGCCAGAAACATAAATTACAGTTTGACCTTGGTCTACGAGGCCTTCGTTTGTCGAAGGATACGATACGACTTAACACCAACTTTTTAAGTAAATAATTAAAAAAAAACTTGCGCTATCTATATATTAATAAGCAAGCATGTTTCTTTAAAACCCTTTTTCTCAGCTTGTGTGCATAGCAGGGAAAATCTAACCTTAATTTTTATGGTCTATCTTGTTGTTACCTTTATTGTTAAGGTTTTTTGAGAGTTTACCGTACCTTTTGCACATTGTTCTCTTCTGTAAATTTGCTGTTTTTTGCATGCTTACTATGTATTTATTTTGTAGTGTTTCAAAATTTTGGGTTTGCTTATTGTTAATCTCTACTTTGTTAATATTTATTGTTATTATTGTTTCTGCGTGTGTAACTAGTCATTATTGGCACTTGCTGTTATATTTATCATATATTTATTTTCTCAACTTTGTTTCGTTAATTCTAAGTGTAGGTAGTGTGGGTAGTAGATAGCTTTAATGGTCACACGCATGTTATTATTACGTCATATTTCTTTACCTTTGGCCATCTGTAAAAAAATTGCAATGTACAATGTAAAATGGGGTTTGCCGTAAATAAATAAATAAATACATTTTACTCACCATAGCAACTAGGTAGAAGTTCCACACGACCTGAATGAGGTTATACGGCATCATGGCTATTTTGAGGTCGTAAGGTTTCCTGGTCTCCATCATCTTGGGTCCGAGGTAGAGGACGAAACCGAGGTAGGCGGCCACAAGACCGACTATGGACACTGGGCTGGACATCAGCATCCAGGAGTCTACCATAGCATCTACACAGGAAAAGTAGACATCAGACATAGTGCATGATACATAGAGTAACGATTACGTGAAGTAAGTAGAAACATATACGTGAACCGTAGCTCAACTTGTAGCTGAGTGGTGCACTCGCCTGGTAGTCAAAAGGTCGCCGGTTCGATCCTGTGTAAAGAAACTCTTTGATGGTTCGAAACTGGGCCCAGTTCTCCTTGATAATTGGGCTTTAAGTAAATGGTCCTGGTCAAGAAAAAAGTTGGTCCTAACAATAACAAACAAAGCTACACGGATCATCTCACTCAATTTCACACTCGCCATTAATTTGCATTCAGCTGTATAAAACGTGTGCTGAAAAACAAAGTTATAAAACATTGAATTGAATTAAATTACTTCACCAATTCAAATTGATTTTCTCTTCTTGCAATCTAGAACATGTCAAAAACTCTTCCAATCTTTTCAAGTACCAATTCTTAACGCTACGTATTTGTTATGTCTCGTAGATATATTTTTTAATGATTTTAAAACAAATAAATCCTCTGAGGAAACTATTTCCTTTATCAGACGTACTTTTAGGCTCTGAATCGCAGAATCAAAGCATTGTCACATAGCAAAAATGCGTTGGTAATTGGAAGGATTTGAACACCGACGTCAAGCTTGAAGTCCCAAGTTTGAAGTCATTAGCACTGTACTACGAAATTGTTATGTAATGATAATCACGATTCAGTAAACATCCTTTACATAGAGTTTTAATGGAACTGAACATTACTTTTTGAACACAATCGTACCAAAGATCATTTTAAAACTCAGATAACTAATAGCTGGCCCGAGGAGAATGATAGGCTAATACAATACTCACTACTTCAAATCGTAGCGTACGTAAAACCTCCTAATAGCATGCCCTGAAGCACCCCCATGACGTAACCGTACTTTGAACCGATGGAGTGCATTATATTCACAAAATGTGAGCTTGTTGTCTGCATGAAGAAATGTTTAACATGTGTTAGGTAAATTACGTCATCAACACCAGGGTGTGTTTGTGTTCGTGTAGTTTAATTAAGATGAGAATTAGCAAAAGAAGTGTGCTTCACCAAATTTCCTTATTTCCTAACCAACTGATTCCAATTTGTTAGGTAAGTGCAACAAACGCTCACCTATCAGATACATTCACTATTTATGATTATTATTTTGAGGTGACGAATCAAAATAATAACCTAGGTGTATTTTACTGTAAAAATGAAAGCAATTTGGTGTAGAATAGGGTGAGGTAATCTTTAGCTTGTTACTGACTACGATAATATATAGAGGACTATTTATTGAAAGCTCAATATCAAGCACAGCTGGGCCTAATTGAGCAATCAAAAGCTACTGACTTTGTCAGGATCGAAACAGAAACCTCATGTTATAAGTACACTGTAACTATTACTGTATATCTTTAGCAATGAAAGTGTCTCTGAACATATGTATTTTGCCTGACATTTAGGGGGACTTCATTTTGTTAAGGGTGTAAATTACAGTAATCATATAACCTCTTCAGTGAGATCGCAACGTACTTTGAATATACTTGATCAAATGTAAAATTATAAAATACAACCTGGAAACAAATGCAAGTGAAAAGGGTGTTGTAGAATGGGGAGAATGATTTTAATGCTTCGAAACTGCCCAACTGCAGAGTTTTAAAGCCCAACAATATGATGCAAGACACATGTAAGCCAAACAGTGAGATCAATGTAATACATATTTTTACACTACAAAGTTGGCTAAATGGCTTTACACTGTAAAGTACCACGACATCACACCAGCCAAGGCTAAGTCAAGGATACTCTGTGACACGAGTGACACGATGTAGCGTACTTTTCCCAGACTGGGATTTAGCGGGTTTAATTGAGCCATTTGAGCATTTTTAATGAGTTTTCGCGGTCTGTTGATTGTTGTGTGTCAGTGACAGTTTTATCACGACGTGTCATAACACCTGGTGTGGTGACATCATTTTGAAATATTACGTCATCGACCGAGAGTGTTTGCTGAAATTGTGTATATCTTTATCCATCACGATTGAAAACCCAATTTTAATTACGTTTCGGGACCTGTAATCTGATATCTGATCCCGTATTCAGGTGATAAATAAGATAGTTAGTAAATTCAGCCAAAGCTGGAAATAATTATTGTACATAAACTGCAGCATAAGCTGGACTAATAGTAAAATTGTGGTTATTAATTGTGTTTATCCTTCTTCTGTTTGGTTTATAGACTATTCTAGTCATGTTTTAATACTGTGTGTGTACCTACCTATAGTACACTTTACACTTTAGTTGTCGATCAAAATAATAATCAATTCATTAAATACAAACGCCTTTAAACATTGACTTTTACTGTTCTCTGTGTGACAGGTTTTGAATTGTTTTCCAGCTTTGATTGTGTGTTGAGAACTATTCTTGTTATTTTAATTACTTTTTCACCTGATGACAGAATCAGATCCCAGATCTTGAAACGTCATAAAAACTTTGGTTTTTACTGGTTTTGATGCAATAATTTCTCGAAAAACGTCAACTCGCCATAAAAATGAACTTTAAACATAGTAAAGTAAATATTGTGTCATTGTATTCATAATACGGTAAATATACTGGAGAGTTTTATTGTAGTTTTCTATTTATTGTTTATTACTGACTCTATAGTTAACTTACAACACATTAGGGCAAAAAGTAGTTTAAAATATGTACTTTATTTATTTTTTTTTAAATATATTCTTACTTAAGCCAGCAAAATAAAAATAACTAGATAGAAAATGTTGTAAAGGAAAGTGTACGTTGTGATTTCTACAAAGTCACGAATTTCTACAATTTGGAAAGTAACCATGGTTTAACAATACTTGTACTCCTTTGTTTAAATAATAATGTGGGGTCGCCTATAACAGTTTACAGAATTTATATTTGAATATACAAGTGGGATAGCGTTCGTGAAAACTTTAGACACGATCTTTTACCTCCTATAGCAACTTTTATTTTACCATGGTACTTAAAACATTTGTACTGTTGAGAATAAAGATGAACTGCTTCCAAACTCTTAGCTAGTATATTTTATACACATTAGAATAATTCAATAATATAACTATAACAGCTTATTACAATAATTACCTTCATAGATGAGGGCCTTCAAATGAGGAAAAGTTTCGTTGAAAGTGACGTTTTCCGTCATCATATCCATTTTGGAGCTTCGTATTACAATCTGAAACAAATTTTCCAGATATAAAAATCTGCAACATAAACTACAAATGAATATTAATTAGAACAAACTCTGTTTACATGAGCAACATTTTCACCCGTTCAAACTGAAAGATTTAGTTAATATGGAAACAGTGTATCAAACACTTTTTACGGTTTAAACATGGTAAAAAAACTGTTAAAACAATATGAATATATGAAAATAGTAGTTTACGCAAATTTAAGGTAAGAGCCTTGGCGAGTGCTTTTAAAACTTCTACGAGTGTCTCAAGGGCTAATTACTCGAGTTGTGTACACTACTTACCCTACGACAGTTTTTTTTTTTTTTTTTTTTTTTTTTATAACAATCACTTCTCATTACGACATGAAGGGTTGTTTTCGTTTTCAACCACTTATTGCCACTGATTTTGATGCAACGACTCGTTGTTCTCATTGTACAATACCAACAGCTGATAAGTTGACGTTAAACGAATTAAAATTTTACTTATTTTCTCTTAATCCTTGAACCTCATTGGTCCAGGCTTGTACCGTAAACAAAACAATGCTGTAAAGTAGGTAAACAATACTGTTAAGAGAACATTTTCAATTCTAAGAACTGAACTGAAAAGGCTAGTTAAAAAACGATCGTAGGTGAAGGAAATAAAGTCACTAATTATAAATTGGCATTGTATAAAATAAAATTACAATAACATAAGAGAAAAATAATATGACAGGAAAACATTTTTTCACTGAAAACATATATTATTCTTGTTTTACGGCCCTGACTCAAATTTAAAACAAAACGTTAAACTTGTAGAAGAAAATTATCGTCCATCTACAGATTACGTTAGATGATTAAGTTATTCGTGTACTTCTTGTATCATTGAAATAAAATCAACATTCTTTCCTTATGCAACATCGCCTACTGTTAGTATACAGTATTACCATAACAGGTTAGCAACGCATTTTCAATTGCATTCTAACATTTCATACATTCCAAAGATGCAGCCCGGAAGAAAAACATGATGACCTTCAGATTATATTTTCATCCCTTGATTACGCTACCATTAAACATGGGTATAAGTGGTAAAACAGTAAATAAGTGTTAGGTTGGTTAAATGGATGTAGGCCTACTCAATAAAGGATTAAATTAAACCATTGTTGATAAAATTTTAAAATAATCCCTAATAATTCTCAACTAAATTGTTTAATGCATAATAAGGTATTTGTCAACCGACAGGTTTACCGTCAAAAATGTTAAGCAGGGTGTTTATAAAAACGATATACAATTGGCCAAGCCGACACGATCATTGGTAACTATTGGGCAATTAATTATTGATTTATTATTGACTGCCAAAATACCTAGTGAATATTTCTCCCCTGCTTATCATTCTGGCTTTTGTGGTAAATACTTTAATTCTTTTATTGAAATGGCGACCATACAAATGTGGCAAAAACTAAGAAAAAAAGAACAAGACGTAAGAAAGATAAACCTCAAAATATACAATATCTTTCAATTAAATTTCTTCGATTTTCGAAGGGAGCAATCTTAATCCCTATAGGGAATTTTGCCAAAACAGATATTTGAACTGCAGGATTTAGTTTAGTATAAAAACCCTAAACAAAAAGCTAATACTTTCTCAAGGACTTTTGACTTTGTCTTTTACGTAAATACGCAACTTGTAGATTTGGAGTGGTTGACCTTGGGCTAAGTGTTAACGAAGGACAATGGTAACATGGATTAACCATTGAAAGAAAATGTTCTAAGCTTGGAAGATCAAAAACTTTGTTGAATGACGTTGGTACGTTAAAAGAATATTCAAGAATGTAAGAATGTCATATCGGTGGATAATATGTACTCTTTATTTAGAATCTTGTCATATAGACTTATAAGTAACATTTAAGACCAAATCACATTCAAATATTTTTTTATTTGTTTCATCATTTTTGGTTACTTGTGGATATTCAACGCTCAAAGGAGCTGGTCTAATGGTAGAGCGCAAGGCTTCCGTACCCGAGGTCTCAGGTTCGAATCCCGCCAAACACCAATGGATGTTTGTCTAAGTGATAGTACAGCAACCACAAGGCCTAGTCTGAAGTAATGTAAAAAAAATCTCAGGCTAGAGTCTAGTTTGAAAAAATCAACTATCAACAATCAGATGCCCCAACTTATTACTCAAACCTCTGATAATGAAAATAAAGTTGAAGATGGCACTCAAAGTCACTTGTTGAAATAAGTATAAAAACCATAAAAACCTTTTCGTAAAAATGGATACTTTGGATTGAGGTAGGAAATATCGCGTCATATTCTAATCTGGAGCATCGGAAGTTCAGATTGAAGGACGGAGTTGGTTGTTGATGGAAAACTGGTTTCACGTTCCAGCTCCTAGCTTGTCGGTTTGTTTAATGATTTACTTAATTGTTTGTTTCTTTTGCTATTGTCTGCAAATAATGGGTTTGCGATTTAATTAGGTCAATTATGCAATTTTGTGAATTTATCATGAAACACAATTACTATAACGTAAATTTTAACCTGTTATAAAACCAACTATGATTCAGCGCAGATATTTCATTCTTATGTTTCAAGAAGCAAACCTAACGGATTAATAATAAAATACAAAAATACGGTACCTAAATGCTTTATTTAACGAAATTTTTACTTAATGGTTGTCAGACCTGTATAAAAATATATCTACTTTGTTAATTCATGGCTTTATAATTATAAGTACATAAGTATGTTTTTCTTTGTCAGTGTCTACGATATTGGCATCTCAAATGCTTTAAAGGAAAAATCATCCAAACCAAAAATGTTTTTGGATATCACGGAAACGAACCCTCTCACATCGAAGTCCGATAACCACTAAGATTCAATACACTACATTTTATATAGTGTAAGAATACGTAGGCCTACACGTTTTGGCTTAGCAATATTAATTTCATAATTTTTCTAATCTGTTACTTGTATTTTATGTTAAAATGAATTGGTCTGATTATGTTTTAGGGGTTAAGGAGATGACTTGCAAGTCCTAGCTTCGCCCCTTAGATAAAGTTATTTTTAATTTTTAATCCTCCAAAACTGTTTACATGAACAAAAACCCCCAATGTTATGGATATAGATCAATAATATAACTTTGAACTAACTAACTGGCAAAATAAATATCTCCTTGATTTTCATCAGGCCATTTTGAAGACTCTGCCGTGCAGATATTCTTTCTGAATATAGTCCTGAGTGTGTTATAATATCGTTCTTTCTTCCAAGACTGTACGCAATACGTGTCTTTATTGAATGAAAACATAAACAATTAATGCAGAAGAATGAAATATAATTGGAGTTTCAGATTTTTACTTCTGTTTACTTGCTGCATTTGTTCGTATCGCAGCCACTTCCTAGGAAGCGAGTGATGTAATTTCAAATAGCATTCTCCGCGCTCGCACGAACTTTGGATTTTGAAACTGTCGTGGTCGCCATGGCAACGCTGAAGCAAGGTTATCTGGTTTTACCTCATTCTGTGGAAAACTATTGAGGTCTATTGAAAGGCTCTGTGTTTGTGACTGGTCTGAATAAATTTCAAAATAAGTTCTAGAACTTGAACTCTCTTGATCGTATACAAATTTGAATCTTCAAAAGGGTCAGTGTCTAATGATTTGTGTAACTATTTGTTGGACCTAGTTGTTTCTTCAGTGGTTATTTTGCTTAAGTAGTAGCTGAATGGATACAATGCTTGCCTGCAGTAATCAATAGGTCGCCGGTTCGATCCTAAGAAAGGCCAGTTAGTTTTTGATTGCACGAAACTTGACCCAGCTGCCCTTGATCATAGTACGTTTAGACTGTCTATAATAATTGACCAACCAATTTCTCAATAGTAGTAGTTTTATGCTAAGAGAATCGTCCAAAATTTGGTCTTTTACCATCTGACATCGATTTTTTGTTAGACAGTATTATTTATTGGCAACCTAATGACAAATTGTCTTAGTTACCCAACTGTCATCACTCATACTCACTATTCACTTGTCAAATAAATTGAATTTCATCTAACATAGCATAATAAAATACAAAGATACTTTTTAGCGAATTTCCCATATAGGGAATAAGCAATTACCGTAGTACTCATGGTAAGACCTGGACGCGGGACCGATTTTTTTTCGTTTTGAGGTTCCTAGAGGCCAAAAACACCATCCGTTCAAATTCATCTATATATATATATATATATATATATATATATATATATATATATATTTATATATATATATATATTTATATAGTCCGTTAGCACGATAACTCGAGCAAAAATTATCCGATTTAGATGAAATTTTGTATAAACGTGTAAACCTACATTTATTCGAACGAGTTCGCGAACCAGCATGATCGGACTATGGGAACGGGGGTTTAAGGGGGGTTTTATGGGGTAAAAATAGGTTTTTCCCGTTTTTGACCCAAAAAACATAAAATATAGCAATTTCTTTCCAAACCATTTTGTAGAGCTTAAAAAACAAATAATTTAGTATATTGAAGCGTTATTATGCGCCTAATGGTTACGGAGAAAATTCCAAAAAATTGTAAATTTAAAATTCCCATGTTATTCTTATGGAGAATAAGTAAACTGTTTTAGTTTGCTTGTTTATAAACATATTTTGATCAAATTTGGAAAATGTTTTTATTTCTTACTAACTATTAACATTTTACAAAAAAAAACTGTTTTTACCCTCCCTGATGCAGCAAACCTAAGTACTTGTTAAAAAAACTAATTCTATTTAAATAGGGAATAAATGAGTAGACATTTTAGTGTAAATTCAATCAGGCAAATGGAAATTCGCTTAGTCTGCAGGTTAGCTGCGGCGGGGGTATTGATGACTTATTACTGGAGGCTTTCCATAGTTAACTCATATACTAGAGGGTGTGACTTGTAGAATTAAATATAAGAAATACAACTCCAACTGTGGGCTTAAGCCTATCTCAAGGAGGTTCCTCTATTTGTTGGCATTATGTCAAACCTTACACTTAACGCTGGATGTATTATTTGGTCT